GTCCGACAGCCGGACGTACGACCTGTTCTGGCGGCAGGCGGCGCGCTGGCTCACGGCGGAGACGCCGGCGCGTCTGGCGCTGTCCGCGCCGGCCGGCCGCTCACCCGGCGAGCAGATCGAGATCGACATCCGCGTGCACGACGCGGGCTACCGGCCGCGGCCCGACGCGCCGCCGGTCGTGGAAGTGACCACGCCGGCCGGCGACGTCCGGACGGTCGACCCCGTGCTCGCGGACCGCCGCGCCGGGCGATTCACGGCCAACTTCCGCGCCGGCGATGCCGGGGTCTACCGGATCGACGCGCGGTCCGGTCCCGGCGCGGAGCATCCCGCGTCGTCCACACGATGGATGCTGGTCGGCGGCGTCGACCCGGAATTTGCGGATCCGCGGCCGGACGACGCGCTCGCTGCCGCTGCGGATGGCCACGCTGGGAACAGAAGCGGCGCGTGCGTATCGCGGCGCGTCCGAAGCCGGGGAGCTGGGCGGACTGCTGCGCGCGGCCGCCGTCGCGCCGCCGCCGGTGACGCGCGAGCTGTGGCAACATGGCGACTGGACGTTTATGATGCTGCTGCGCTGGCACTGCTGGACTGCGTGTGGTCGCTGTCGGATCGGTGCACTTCGCTCGAGATGCCTTCCATGCTCGCGATCTTTAGATACTGCCAGCCACTGGTCAAATGTTGCGCTCTCGTCGTTCTCAGCGGTGCGGCCGGGGCGCTGCTGGCGCCGCCGCCGGCGCATGGCGACCAGTTCGCCCTGGTGGTGAGCGGCGCGTCGGGCGGCCCGCAATACGTCGAGCAGTACAGCGCATGGCGGCAGACGCTCGTCGCCGGTTTGCGCGACCAGCCGGGATTTCGGGATGACCATCTGATCGTGCTGGGGGAAACCCCCGGTCCAGGGGTCGGGCGCGCCTCCCGCGAGGGGGTCGAAGCCGCCGTGGACGCGCTCCGCCGGCGCATGGCGGCCGATGCGCAGCTGCTGGTCGTCCTGATCGGGCACGGCACCGACGACGGGGTCGATGCCCGCTCTTCAATCTCGTCGGATCGGACCTGTCCGCCGCCGACTGGCGCCGGCTGCTCGATTCGCTGCCGGGGCGCACCGTGTTCGTCAACACCACGGCGTCGAGCCTCCCGTTCGTCCGGCGGCTGGCGAGGGACGGCCGTGTGGTGATTGCCGCCACGGGATCGCCGGCCCAGCGCTACGATACGGTGTTTCCCCGCTTCTTCGTCGCCGCAGTGGGCGATCCGGCCTCGGACGCCGACAAGGACGGGCGCGTGTCGGTCTGGGAAGCGTTCGCATCAGCCAGCGCGCGGGTCCGGCGCTGGTATCAGCAGGAAGGGCGCCTCGCGACCGAGCGGGCGGTGCTGGACGACTCGGGCGACGGCATCGGCGCGGATGCCGACCGGCCGGGAGCGGACGGCCCGCTGGCGGCCAGCCTCTATTTCGGGGCCGGCGTGGAGCAACCCGCGGCCGCGGCCGATCCGGCGCTCGCGCCGCTCGTCGCCCGCCGCGAGGCTCTCGAAGCGGGGGTGGCGGCGCACCGGGCGCGCAAGTCAGCGCTGCCGGAGGCGGAGTACGCCCCGGAGCTGGAGCGGCTGCTGGTGGAGCTTGCCCGCGTGTCGCGCGAATTGCGGCAGCGGGCGGGGTCCGACTGATGCGCGACGCTACGAAGACGATGGAGTGCCAGCACTGCGGAACGGAGATAGCCGCCAACGCTCTGATCTGCTTCCGCTGCGGCGAGGCGACGAGCGAGCCCGAGCATTCCACCCCCGCGGGCCGGCCTGCCGGCCGCGTGTGGGCGCCGGTCGGGCTGGGCGTCGTCCTGCTGCTGGTGCTCGGCTTCTTCGTGAACCTCGGCGTGGGCGGCCAGCCGGTCTCCCCGGCGGTCTGGATGATACTGGGCGCCGCCGGCGTGCTGTTGACGTGGCGCCTGTTGAAATGAGCGCCTGCGTCGATTGATCCGACACGACCTCATGTCACGTAGGCGCTGAGCTGCCGGATCCGGAGACCCGGTATGGACGGGATACGGCGATCGTTAGTGAGCATCGTTCGACAACCGGTGCCGATGGCCGCCGCCAACTGCAGGGCATCCGGCGTCTTGACGCTGGTCGTGGCCCGGAGTTGGGCCGCTGCGCGCAACTGGTCCCGAGTCAGATCGACGAGTCGTATGCCGCGGCTGTGCGTCAACAGCGCCTCGTACCGATCGGCGACAGAACGATTGCCGGCGCGCAAGGGGACGACGAGGACCTCGAGCAGCGTCAGCGCCGACGTGACGAGTTCCCGGGTGCCATCATCCGCCTCGCGGAACAGCGGGTCGATCAACGGCAGGAAGCGAGGGTTTTTCTCGATGAAGTAGATGAAGATGGCGGTGTCGATGGCCAATGGGCCGGGGCCAACATCCGCCATCAATCCCATGCCGCTCGTTCTCGCTGCACGTGGGTCACCGGGTCGACGCCGGTCCAGAGCTCCTTCCCGAGCCCGCGAAGCTCGAGAATGGAAAGGCGCTCCGGCGCGTCGAGCGCCGCGTCCAGGAGGTGCGTTGCTTCCTGGGCGACGGACCGTCGTTCCCGCCTGGCCCGCTCCCGCAGCTTCGCGTGCAGATGATCAGGCAGATTCTTGATGTTGAGCACAGCCACCTGGTTCCTCCATTACACCTCCATGATGGAGGAACATCTGAAGGCTGTCAATGATCGGCCCGGTCGCGCCTCCCGCCAGGAAGGCTTCGCGTTGTCACGTCCGCTCTTCCTGCTCGAGCGGTCATGCACACAGTTCGGAACACTGCGACAATCGCGGCGGAAACATATTGGGCGCCGGCTGCTGGTATGCTGTCCGGGACGCCGGGCGCACGGCCGCGCAGGTGTCAGGAAACGTCATGGGTCTGATGGATCGCGTGTTCGGCAGGAAGAAGGCGGACGAGGGACCGGATCCGCTGGCCGATCTGGTGCTGGAAAAGCTCAAGGTCGGCTACCTGGTCGACTATGACCTGCAGACCTGGCAGGTCACCGCCTACTGCCGCTATACCTTCTCCGGCAAGGACCGCAGCGTGGAGGAATGGGAGCTCACGGCGGGCGGTGAGGGGCGCTTTCTGGAGCTGGCGGACGGTGGCTGGTCGCTCTCCCGCACCATTTCAATCGGCGCCATCGACGGCGACATCCGGCGGCATATCCTCGACCACGACGATCCCCCCGCCCGCATTGTGTACGAGGGCGCGGAATACAACCTGGACGCCTGCTATGGTGGACACATGTTTCCCGACGGCAAGGGGGGCGGCGAGCAGTTGATCCGCTGGGAGTTCCTGGACGCGGCCGAAAAGAACTTCGTCGGCATCGAGCAGCGCAGCGAGACGGAGTTTGCGGCGGCTGCCGGGTTCGTGGTCGAAGAGTACGAGTTCACCCATCTGCTGCCGGGGGCGGTCGAGTGAGCCGTCTGCGCCTGGCGGCGGTGCTTGCGGCCGGCCTGGCCTTCGCCGCGGCGTGCGCGGGCGAGTCGCCGCTGGAGCGGCTGCAGCGCGAGCTCGAACCCTTTCCCGAGTATTCGATCATCCTGCAGGACATGCGGCCGGAGGGGTTCTACCACCAGTACCGGGTGGTCGTCGGCGAACCCGGAGGCGAGTCCGGTGAGGTGGTCCACCGCGAACAGTTGCTCGCCTGGCAGAAGGTAGGCCGCCGAACCTACAACCAGTATCAGTCGTCTCTCGGCATGGTGATCCTTTCGAAGGGCCCCGACGGCGCCATCGACCAGCAGCAGCACCCGCCGGGCTACCAGCAGGTGGGCGACGAGCGCTACGGCCGCTGGCGCGACGATGGGGGCGGGCGTTCGTTCTGGGAGTTCTACGGGCAGTACGCCCTGTTGAGTCATGTAATTGGGGGCTTCAACCGCCCCATCTACCGGAACGACTGGAACGGGTACCGGGATTCCCGTTCCCGCGGTCAGACCTACTACGGTCCCGGCGGCGCGTACGGCACGAACGGCACGGTCACGCGGCAGACGAATCCCGACTTCTTCCGCCGCCAACAGGCGCGGCAGGCGGCGCGGACACAAGGTTTCGGTGACCGGGTGCGCAGCCGGATGCTGGGCGGCGGCCGCTTCGGCGGCAAGTAGCGCGCCGCCGGCAGCCGAGGAGGGTTAATCATGGCGGTGGACCAGATTGTGACGGGCTTCATCTATCTGGCGGTCGTGCTGGTCCTGCTCGTCATCGGCAAGTGGGTCTACGACGCGCTGCACCGGCGCTTCGTGCTGCGGGTCGAGCTGCTCGACAAGGGCAACCTGGCGGTGGCCCTGGCCGTCGGCGGCTACTACGTCGCCTGGCGATCGTGCTCGGGGGCGTGGCGTACGGGCCGGCCTCCTTCAGCCTGCTCGACGACGTCATCAGTCTCGCGAGTCTTCGGCCTGCTGGGGATGCGCTGCTCAATCTCTCGGCCTGGGTCAACGACACGGTGGTCTTCTCGAAGTTCGACAACGACCGGGAGATCGTCGAGGACCGCAACGCCGGCCTGGGCGCCGTCGAAGGGGCAACTACGTCGCGGTCGGCCTCATCACGGCCGGGGCGATGTCGGGCGAGGCGGCCTGCTGCCGGGCCTGGCGTTCTGGGTCGCGGGTCTGGCGGCGCTGGTGGTTGCCGGCCTGCTGTACGACCGGATCACGTCGTACGACCTCCACGATCAGATTGAAAAGGATAACGTCGCGGTCGGGGTGGCGTTCGCCGGGGTCCTGGTCGGGTTCGGCAACATCATCCGGCTGGCGGGCGAAGGCGACTTCGTCTCCTGGACCGAGAGCCTGACCGGGTTCGGCTACTACACCGTCGTCGGATTGGTCCTGCTGCCGGTCGTTCGGCTGGTGGCGGACAAGCTGCTCCTGCCGGGCGCCAACCTGAGCAGCGAGCTGGTGAAGGAGCGGCCCAACCTGGCCGCCGGCGTGATCGAGGCGGTCACCTACGTCGCGGCGTCGATGCTGATCGGCATGACGTTGTAGCGCCGCCGCGCCTCGCATCACCGCCACGCAATCCATGCGCGCGTTCCTGAAAAGGGTGGCCCAGCCGCTGCTGGCGCTGCTGGCGTTCCTGCGGCGCGAGAACCTGCTGCGCCTGATGGCCGCCATCGTGGCGCTGGTGGTGGTCGGGGCCGCGGGTCTTACGGTCTTCGAGGAGAACCGGTCGTTCCCGGACGCGCTCTGGTGGGCCATCGTCACCGTGACCACGGTCGGCTTCGGCGATATTTCGCCGACGTCGCTCGGCGGCCGGCTGATCGGCGTCGTGCTCATGTTCTTCGGCATCGGCGTGCTAGGGATGTTCACGGCCACCATTGCCGGCGTGTTCGTCGAAAAGCGGCTGCGGAAGGAGCGGGGCATGGGCTCGTACGACCTGGAAGGGCACATCATCCTGTGCGAATGGAACAATCGGACGCGGGAGATCCTCAAGGACCTGCGGGCCGACCCGCGCGCAGCAGAGGCCCCGATCGTGCTGCTGGCCGACATCGAGGCGAAGCCGGTCGCCGACGAGCAGCTCTTCTTCGTGCGCGGCAAGCTGGGCCGAGGACACCTTGAAGCGGGCCGGCATCGAGCGGGCGGCCACCGTTGTCATGGTTGGCGACCGGTCGCTCGACCACGGCGCGCGGGACGCGAAGGCGGTGCTGTCGGTGCTGACGGTCGAGAGCCTCAACCCGGCCGTCCACTCGATCGTGGAGCTGGCCAGCGAGGAGAACGTCGCCCATTGCGAGCGCGCCGGCGCCGACGAGATCATCGTGGGCGCCGAGTTCAGCAGCCGCGTGATTTCGACCGCCGCGCTCGACCACGGCATCTCCGCCGTGCTGCGGGAGCTGCTGAGCGCGCAGATCGGCCACGACCTCATCACCGTGCCGGTGCCGGAGCAGTTCGCCGGCGCACGTTCTTCGATCTGTTCTCAGGCCTGAAGCGCGAGCGCGGCATGATCGCGCTGGCGATTCTGCCCCGCGCGGGCGGGGCCGTCGTCACCAATCCGGATGCCGACGCCGTCGTCACGTCCGGAGACCGGCTGGTGGTCGTCGCCGGCGCCGCACGGGGCGGCGTACCGCCGGCCGGGTGAGCGCCGCGCGCGGGCGCTCGATTGGCCGCGCGCCCGGACCGCAAACAACGGTAGGATCAGGAAGACGCGCCCGCGCTGCCGCGCGGGGAATGACCGGGCCGCATGGCCCGCCAGGAGGTGCCACGGGATGTCTGAAAATCTCGATCGGGTGAAGGGCTACCTGCTCGACCTCGATCTGACAATTGTTGCCGAGAACGAGTCCGAGGAGCTGGTGGTGGTGGACGACGAGGACAACGGCATAAAGCAGCTTGTCATCGACTGCGAGCCGCCGATCGTGGTGCTCGAGCAACTGATTGCCGAGGTGCCGGCGGAGCCGGGCGACCTGTTCGTGCGGCTGCTGCAGATGAACAACACGCTCGTCCACGGCGCGTTCGTGCTCGACGAGACGGGCAGCCGCATCTTCTTCCGCGACACGCTGCAGATCAGCAACCTCGACATCAACGAGCTGGAGGGCTCGATCCGGTCGCTCTCCCTGGCGCTGGCGGAGTACGGCGCCGAGTTGCTCACCTATCTGAAGAAATAGCTCTGGACGATTGAAGGAGACGCAGTCATGGCCAGCATTTTTCGCAGGATGTTCAAGGTCGCCGAGGCGAATGCCCACACCGCTTTGGACGGTCTCGAAGACCCCATCAAGATGACCGAGCAGGGCATTCGCGACCTCAAGAAGAATCTGCAGGCCGCCATGGTCAGCCTGGCCCAGGTGAAGTCGCTCGCGATCCGCATGAAAAAGGAGGGCGAGGATCACAAGAAGCGGGCGGCCGATTACGAGCGCAAGGCGATGATGCTCCTGCGGCGGATGGAAGGGGGCGAGATGGACGCCGCCGAGGCGGAGCGGCTGGCCACGGCGGCGCTCGAGAAGAAGGACGAGTCGCTGCAGCAGGCGGCGCGCAGCGTCGCCGACCACCAGACGCAGCAGCAGATGGCGGATCAGCTGCAGGGCAAGGTGGAGGATCTCAAACGGCAGATCGCCAAATTCGAGAACGAAGCGATCACACTGAAGGCCCGCGCGCGCACCGCGTCGTCCATGCGCAAGATCAACCAGCAGTTGGCGGGCGCCGACGCCTCCGGCACCGTCGCGATGCTCGAGAAGATGAAGCAGAAGGTGAGCGAGGAAGAGTCGCTCGCCGAGGCGTACGACCAGTTGGCGGACGTCGGGGGCGACATCGACGGGGACATCGACAAGGCCCTGGCCAATCCTTCCCCGAGCGCCACGTCCGATTCCCTCGCCGCGCTGAAGAAGAAGATGGGGATCGCGCCGCCGGCGTAACGTCCGGTCGCGACGCTGCGCTCAAATTTCCGCGGCGGGCGCCAGGCTGCTGCGGTGCGGATGCCCCAGCGCGCGCAGCACCTCTTCGGCCGCGCGCACGCCCTGATACTGCGCCTCCTCGAACAGCGACAGCCCGCTCATGTCGGAGTGGGCGAAACGGATGCTGCCGTGGCGCCGGCTGGCGCGCGGCGCGACGCCCCACAAGAAACCGGGCACCGGCCGGACCATGGCGTGCCCCCACAGCATGACGTCGATGTTGGACACGAGCGACTCGATCGCGGGGTGCGCCTGTACAAGGTCGGCGAAGATCAGCGAGACCCAGTCGTCCCAGCTCCGCTCCAGCATCCAGGCGCGGGCCACCTCCGGGTTGGGCGGGGTCAGCGGCAGGTAGTAGGTCAGCACGCTCGGCCCGGGCGCTATCCCGAGGTTCTGGTGCGTGGCGACCACGTAGCCGACCGACGGGCTGTCGTACAGCACGTTGTCCCAGGCGGCGCCGTCCGGCAGCCGGTCGACCGTGAGGTTGGCCACCATCCACGGACAGTACGTGAACGCGTCCGGCTCCGCGCCGGGCGGCGGGTAGCCGTCGATGACGCGGCGGGCCGTGAAGCGCGGCAGGGCGTAGATGGCGTGGCGCGCCCGGAAACGGACCGTGGTCCCGGCGCCGGTATCCAGCGCGTCGACGTCGACGCCGCCATCCGGCGCCGGCGCCCCGTCCGGGTCCACCGCCGGACGCAGCCGGTGCACGAGCATGCCGGTGCTGACGTGCGGCGCCAGGCGCTCCATGAAATGACGGACGATGCGGCCGTTCCCCTCCGGCCAGGTCAGGTATTCCGCATCGGCCGGGCGCGAACAGAAGTAGTGCCAGCCGGCCCAGGCCGAGGTGGTGTCGAGCGTGCAGCCATAGTCGTCGCGGCAGCAGTAGTCGACGTACCAGCGCAGCCGCTCGGACGACCAGCCGGCGCGGTCGAAATAGTCGCGCATGGAGAGCCGGTCGAGCGCGATGATGTCCGCGTCGGTCGTGCTTGCCGCGCGCGGCAGCGCGAATGCCCGGCGGCCGCGCGCATCGCGATAGTTGCGGTAGCGCCGCGCCTCGGCCTCGAACGCGGCGAGTTCCGCGCCGGCGCCAGTTTCCTCGGCGTCAAGCAGGGCCCGCGCGGAGATCTCGTCGCGCCACTGGCCGTGGATGAACAACCGCTCCTGCGGTGCATGGCACAGATGCCGCGGGTCGTAGATCGGCTCCCCGTCCGGACCGTGACCCTGCACCAGGCCCATCTCGACCAGCAGCTCGCGAACCGCCGTCGCTTCCGGGCCCGGCACCGGCACATAGTGCGCTCCCCACGGGTAGGCCGAGACCTGATTCTGTCCCCAGCGGGCGTTGCCGCCCGGCTCCGGCTCGAGCTCCAGCAGCACGAAGTCGCGCATGCCGCTCCCGGCGAGCTTCCAGCCGGCCGACAGCCCCGCCATGCCGCCCCCCACGATGACGACCGGGACCTCGCGCGTCTGTTGCGGCGCGGGGAACTCGCCGTCCCGCAGGCGGTGGCCGATACGGTGGGAGGCGCCGACAATCGTCCCGGTGATCCGGCCCGGGGCCGGCGTACCGGCGGGTGCCGGCGCGCCCGGCCGGCAGCCGAAGCCCAGCACGCCAGCCGCCGCGGGACCGAGCCTGAGGAGGTCCCGGCGCGACAGCGGCTGGCCCCGCTTCAGCGTGCGTAGCGGCTCCATCCGTCCGTGTGGTACTGCACGAGGATCTGGTTGTTGAGGCGGTTCACCTCGACCGGCACCGCGTCCATGTCGGCCGGGAACTCGAAGAGCGAGCGGGCGATGGCCGGCGTCAGGTAGCGCAGCGCGGCGGGGAAGCGGTCCGGCGCCTGCAACGGCTCCCGGGACGCGAGCACGAAGCCCCATTCGCCAAACGACGGAATCGCCGCGTGGTAGGGCGCGGCGTGCAGGCCGACGTCGCGCACCGTCGCGACGATACACCAGAACGCCTCGCGGGCCGCCAGCGGCGACGTGCTCTGGATCGCGACGACGCCGCCCGCAGTCAAGTGCGCCGCCAGCCGCCGGTAGAAGGTGGTGGTGTACAGCTTGCCGAGCGAGTAGTTCGACGGATCGGGGAAGTCGACGACGATGAAGTCGTAGCGGTCGGCATGCTCCTCCAGCCAGACGAACGCGTCGGCGTTGACCACCGTGACGCGCGGCGAGCGCAGGGCATGGTCGTTGAGCGCCGCCAGCGCCTCGTGTGCCGTGAAGAGTTCCGTCACCAGCGGGTCGAGGTCCACCAGGGTAACCTGCTCGACGCGGTTGTCCTTGAGGATTTCGCGGACCGCCAGCCCGTCCCCGCCGCCGAGCACCAGCGCGCGGCGCGGCGCCGCGACGGCGGCCAGGCCGGGATGGACCAGCGCCTCGTGGTAGCGGTATTCGTCGCGCGAGGAGAACTGGAGGTTGCCGTTCAGGAACAGCCGCACGTCGCCGTTGGCCTGCGTCAGCACGATGCGCTGATACGTGGACGTGCGGGACAGGATGACCGGATCGGCGTACAGCTGCCGCTCCGACCGTTCCATCAGATCGTCCGCGTATACCGCGCCGGCCAGCAGCAGGACGAGCGCCGCCCAGGCCTGCACGGTGAGCCGCGGCCGGCGGTGCTCGTGGCGGAAGACGTGGCACATCCAGACGGCGACCACCAGATTGAGCACGCCGAAGACGAACGACGAGCGCATCAGCCCGACGCGCGGCACGAGCCACAGCGGGAAGAGCAGCGACGCCGCCAGCGCGCCCAGGTAGTCGAGCGACAGCACGGTCGAAACCAGGTCGCGCAGCGGGAACTGATCCTTCAGGATGCGCAGCAGGAACGGGATCTCCAGACCGACCAGCACGCCGGTCGCCAGCACCCAGGCGTACAGCACGACCCGGAAGGCGGAGATCGCACCGAAGGCGAAGAACAGCACGGGCGAGGAGAGGCCGCCGACGACCCCGACCAGAATCTCGATCTCGATGAAACGCGCGATCAGATCGCGCTCGACGTACCGTGACAGGTAGGAGCCGACGCCCATGGCGAACAGATAGACCCCGATGATGGTCGAGAACTGCGTCACGCTGTCGCCGAGCAGGTAGCTGGCGATGGTGCCGGCCAGCAGCTCGTAGATCAGGCCGCAGGTGGCGACCGTGAACGCCGCGATCAGCAGCGCGCGGGTCTTGGCGCCGATTAGACCGACCGGCGCAGCGGGGGGATGGTCCATCACGTTACGATCTTGCTGGCCAGACGGGCCGGGGTCAACCGGCACGCGACCAGGCCTCAGCGTACGCAGGCTTCGATCAGGTCGCACGTGCGGCCGATCGAGTCACTGGCGTCGCAGCGCCGCGCGAGCTCCGCGCAGCGGTCCGCCACGACATCCGAGCCGAGCAGCGCCGCGAGCTGGCGCGCCACCCGCGCGCCGCTGAAGCGCGCCGGCGGCAGCATGCGCGCCACGCCGAGCCGCACGAGCCGCGCCGCGTTGTCCGGCTGGTCGAACGCCATCGGCATGACGAGTTGCGGCCGTCCGGCCGCCAGCGCCTGCGCGGCGGTGCCGATGCCGCCATGGTGCACCAGTGCGGCCGCGCGCGGCAGCACTTCGCTGAACGGCGCGTACTCCGCATGCCGCACCCCGTCCGGCAGCCGCTCCGGAAGCTGTTCCGGGTAGCGCGTCAAAAGCACGCCGCGCCGTCCGAGCCGCCGGCAGGCGTCGGCCGCCGCCGCGAAGAAACGGCCGGCCTGCCGATTGGCCGAGCCGGGAGCGAAGACGACGGGCGGGTCTCCGGCAGCTTCTGCATCTCCGAGAAACGCCTCCAGATCGGGCGGCACGGGCGCCACGCCGCGTTCGTCGTAGAGCGGAAACCCGGTCAGCGCCGTGCGCGCGGGCCAGTCGGCTTGCGGCGCCGCAAACCACTCGGGGAACAGGCCGATGGCGCGCTGCGGCGAGTGCCACCAGCGGCTGGCGATATGGCGCACCGGGCGCGAGGCCCAGCTCCGCGCGGAACCGGTTCAGGGGTGGCGCCAGCTCCAGATCCAGGAACCTGTCGCCCAGTGCGAGCAGCAGCTGCTTCAGCGGTGCGGCCAGGAGTTGATGGAGCCCAAGTAGTGGGCCGGCACCGGCGCCTGGTCCAGGCTCCATAGCGTCGACGGCGCCAGGTGCAGCGTTACCAGTGGCACATCCAGCTTTTCCTGCGCGATCCGCGCGCCGAACGCCAGCGGGTGCGCCACCACGACAGTATCCCTTCCGGCCGTTTGCTGCTCGATGAGGCGGTAGACATCCGACGTGACGAGGTCCACCATGCGCGCGATGACACCCATCCCGCGCAACTGATGCCAGAGGGCAGGGTTCGCGGTGACGGCGTCGAACTGCGCGACCGTTCCGATCGGCAGCAGCGGCAGCCCGACCCGCTCGAGGAGCGGCGCGAAGTACGGGTTGGTGACGACGGAAACCGCATGGCCACGGTCGCGCAACGCGAGCGCGACCGCCACCGAGGGATGGACGTCGCCGGCGCTGCCGATCGATACGACGAGCGCCTTCACGAAGTCACCGCTGCGGTTTCGTCCGTGCGCCCAAGCCCGCCACTATTCGCAAGTTCCAAGCATCACTCCACACCTACCGGTCTTTGGAGAATGGTAACGGCGTCGGCGTGCCGCGCGCAGGACCCGCGTCCGTTCCTCACCCTATGTGCTACCATGTGCGTCACCATGTCTGATCCCAGTGCGGGAACGTCCAGAGTCGGCATACGGGCGCTGCGTCAGAACTTGAGTGTCTATATCCAGCGCATCCACCGCGGTGAGCGGTTCGAAGTCACCGACCGCGGCCGGCCCGTGGCGCTGCTCGTGCCGCTAGCCGGAAGCCTGTCTCCGCTGGCGCGGCTTATCGCTGAAGGGCGGGCAAGCATGCCGCACGGAGACCTGCTGGACCTTCCCGCGCCGGCAGGCAAGCCATCGAAAGCCGCGGGCAACGCGCTGATCGCCGACCGCGACGACCGATTCTAGCGATCCGTGGTCTATCTGGATTCCTCGGCCATCGTGAAGCTCGCCGTCTCGGAGCCGGAGTCCGGCGCCCTGCGCCAATACCTTGCTGCGCACGCTGATCGCGTTTCGAGCGGGCTTGCCCGCGTGGAGGTGCTGCGGGCGCTGCAGCGGACCGACGCAAGCGACGCGACGGTGCTACATGCGGAACAGATTTTCGAGCGTATCGCCCTGGTGGCCCTGGACGAGCCGGTCCTGCGCGCCGCGGCCCGACTCCCACCGAAATCGCTGCGAAGCCTCGACGCCGTGCACCTCGCCACGGCGCTGTCTCTGGATGGACTCGAAGCTTTCGTGACGTACGACCGGCGGCTGCACGCCGCGGCCGCGGCGGTGGGCGTGGCGGTCGCGGCGCCCCGCTGAGCGCGCCGGGTTCCATGGCCCCCGCTCGTTGGCCGGGGGGCCGGTGGGCTGCGCCCTAACGCTGGTCCATCGGCACGTAGTCGCGCTCGCCGGCCCCGAGGTAGATCTGCCGCGGGCGGGCGATCTTCTGGGCCTTGTCGCGCAGCATCTCCTGCCACTGCGCGATCCAGCCGGGGGCGCGGCCGATGGCGAACAGCACCGTGAACATGGCGGGCTTGAAGCCCATCGCCTCGTAGATCAGACCCGAGTAGAAGTCGACGTTCGGGTACAGCCGGCGCTGGACGAAGTAGTCGTCCTGCAGGGCAATCCGCTCGAGTTCGATCGCGATGTCCAGCAGCGGGTTGCGCCCCGTCACCTCGAACACGCGGTACGCCTGCTCCTTGATGACCGTGGCGCGCGGGTCGTACGACTTGTAGACGCGGTGGCCGAAGCCCATCAGGCGGCCTTCGCCCGCCTTCACCTTCTTGATGAAGTCCGGGACGTTGTCGACCGAACCGATGGCGGCGAGCATGCGCAGCACCGCCTCGTTCGCGCCGCCGTGCAGCGGTCCGTACAGCGCCGCCGCCGCGCCCGCCATCGAGGCGAACGGGTCGGCCTGCGAGCTGCCGATGCCGCGCATCGCGCTCGTGCTGCAGTTCTGTTCGTGGTCGGCGTGCAGGATGAACAGGATGTCGAGCGCCCGCTCCAGCACCGGGTCCGGGGTGTAGGGGGCGCCGGGCTCTCCGAACAGCATGCCGAGAAACCGGCCGGCAAAGCCGAGAGAACTGTCGGGGTCGACGTACGGCAGGCCGTTGGCGTGCCGATAGGAATACGCGCCGATGGCGGGCGCCTTGGCGATCAATCGCGCCACCTGAATGCGGCGGTTCTCGTCGTCGAATATCTGCTTCGCGTCGGGATAGTACGTCGAGAGTGCGCCCACCGAGCTGAGAAACACGCCCATCGGATGCGCATCGGGCTGAAACCCATCCAGCAGGCTCTTGATCCCCTCTGGCAGCGGGGCGTGCCCGCCGAGTTCCGCCTCCCACGACTCCAGCTCCGCGGCGGTCGGCAGCTCCCCGTTCAGCAGCAGGTACGCGGTTTCGGTGAACGTGCTGTGCTCGGCGAGCTGCTCGATCGGGTAGCCGCGGTAGCGGAGGATGCCCTTGTCGCCGTCGATGAACGTGACGCGGCTCCGGCAGGAGGCGGTGTTCTGAAAGGCCGGGTCGTACGACATCATGCCGAACTCGTCCGGGTCTACCTTGATCTGCCGGAGATCGATGGCCCGGATCGTGCCGTCGGTGATCGGAATCTCGTACTGTCGGCCGGTGCGGTTGTCGGTAATCGTCAGCGTGTCTGCCATGGATCGTTCTTCGCCTCTCCGGTCACGTTTCCCCGTCTGTCGGCTCGCCGCCGCGCGGCGGCTCATCGGTCTGTCCCGGGATGCGGTAGCAGCCGTCCAGCCAGTTCTCGAGATCGAACAGCTTGCAGCGTTCCGAGCAAAATGGGCGCCACGCCAGCACGGCCGGCCGGCGGCGGCACTGCACACACAGGGCGCCGCGCTCTTCCATCGATCGGGGTGC